ACAATATGACACAGCACTTGTTTACAAAAAACTGCAAAGACTTGGAAGACGCAAAAAGAGCCTCGACAAAGGCCCCAGACCATTGCCTCGTCTCAAAGTTGCAGATGACAAATTTGCGCAGTCGTTTGTGGAATGTCAGGAAACCTGGAGAAATCAATTTGCTGAGGTTGAGGCTGGGATTCAGGTGACTGATGTACAATTGGTCCAGCTGCACCAACAGTCGGTCGTGCAGGGAGCCCGTGATGCCAGGTTTTGTCCTGACCCATATGAAATCCTTTCAATTCTCAGAAAGTGCAAAAATGGAAAGGTCCCAGGGCCAGGGCAACTCCCAGTTGATATCCTCAAGGCAGGGGGAATACAGATGGCCAAGCTCCTCACGCCATTATTGGTAAAAGCGTCGTGGCACATGCGTGAACCGCTTAACTGGAAGGGAGGCTTGCTCATTCCACTCTTCAAGGGGAAGGGTTCGCCAGCAGAGCCATCTGCTTATAGGTCTATATTCCTTTCTGACATATGTGCAAAGATTCATCATTCTCATATGCGGAAGGAGCTTGCGCAAGTATGGAGCCAGGAAGCAGATCTTATTCAATTGGGAGGCAAAAAAGGTTGTTCCACAGACGTTGCACATCATTTCCTGCATGCACATCTTTCTTGGTCCCGGGCCAGGAATGTCTCCTGTGGCATTCTATTTGTTGACCTGCAGGCTGCCTTCTATTCGGTTCTCAGATCCTCCTTGTTTGCAGGTGAATTCCATGATGACGAAATCTGTTTTGCGATGAAACAGCTAGGCATCACACCACACGAATGGCAGGAAATCAAACAATGCGTCACCCGGGACAATGCCACTGAAGGAGTGGACGCCCATCCTGCTGGCATCTTGCATGACATGTTTTCCGGCACACATTTCACGATGCAAGGTCTCAATGACAAGGTCGCCACGATGCGTGGCACAAGACCCGGCGACCCTGTAGCTGACATTCTCTTTAACATGGCGTTCAGGCTAGTGGTTCTTGATGCCAGAAAAAGAATTCAGACAGCCACAGGGACTCCTTGCTTCGGGTCGCCAGAACCGTCAAATGACATCACGTGCGGTGTTCCCATCCCTTCCAAAGGTTTTGCCGAAATCACCTTTGTGGATGACATAGCTTATGCCATGCACTCCAATACGGCAGAAGAACTGGTCTCACACATGCAAATCACAGCCTCATGTTTGCACGATGCAGCTGCTGTACGTGGACTTGGCATTAACTATCAAGCAGGCAAAACTGAGGCAATCCTCAAACTTGCCGGAGTTGGTGCTAGGTCAGTCAAGCACAAGGTTTGGCATGAATGTGGTGGGTATTTGCCTGTGGTCACTGAGTATGGTACTCAGCAATTGAGGACTGTTCATTCATACAAGCATTTGGGCTCATATGTTCAGGACCATGCAATTGTGCAGAAAGATGTGAGACACAGGATTTCCCAGGCCAGGAAAGCATATGGCCAACTTAGTCGGCAGTTTTACAACAAGCGGAACGTGAGTCAGCCTACAAAGGGGTCGGTGTTCTCAGCGCTTGTGATGTCCCGTTTGCTTTACAATGTGCATACGTGGTCGTGGCTCACAGATGCAGATGTTGAATGCTGGGAGAATGGAATCAAACCACAGGTTGCGGCTTTGGCGAAGCAAAAAATCAGACCAGTCCCTCCTTTTCAATTCTCTACAGCAGAGCTCTGTGCCATTGCAGGCTTGCATAGTCCTAGTGACCTGCTGCATGCAAACAGGCTCCGCTATGTGCGCAGAGCCATCAGTACAGCACCAACGGCCCTTTGGGGATTACTGCATGATAATCCACATGGCAATTCGTGGTTGCCCCATCTTCAGGAGTCTTACCAATGGCTGTTGAAACACCTTCGCCCAGGGTTGATGCCGCAGTGTCAAGATGCTCATGAACTTATGTCGATCATAGCGATTGATCAGAAATGGAATGGGCACATAAAGACGGCACTTAAATCCTCTATGCAATATCAACAAGCCAGAGCTCAAGGCAAGCTGTGGACAAATCGCCTGCAGTATCAGGTTGCCAATTTTGCAACGGTCTCCATTCCAGAGGTTGACAGAGCTGACAACTGCTGGAAGTGTAGTCTGTGTGAAGCCACATTTGCCACGAAGAAGGCCCTGTCCGTCCATGCTAGACATAAGCATCAATATCGTACAGTGTTGAAATATTACGTTCTGGGAGATGAATGTCTGGCATGTGGTAAAAAGTTTTTCAACAGAGTGCGGCTGCTTGCTCATGTTGGAAACGCCCAGAAATGCAGAGACACGTATTATGCATGCTTTGTTCCAGCACCGGAAGAAGTGGTTGACCAGATCGAAGTTGAGGAGAGAGACCATGCAAGGTCTCTCAGGATTCAAGGATGGCATGCATCTAAGGCCTTTCTCCCGGTTACCAGAGTCCATGGACCACTGTTACCCGAGCGTGGAACAGAGGGAGCCATTGAAATGAGAGCCAGATGGCAGTCTCGCACTCTGGAGACTGGTCGAGCTTTTGAAGGTTTAGATGGTTTTTGCGAGCAGAGTTCTGGAGAGGTTTCTGAACAGGTTGAGATTATTCCCTTCCTCATGCATTCCAATGGTGGAAGGGTGCAAGGCGAAGCAGGTATCTACCAGCAGTATGGTTTGGCCGCTGAGACAGCGAGACTGCATGTGAAAGGATTCTTGTTTGTCCACTTCTTTAGTGGCTTTCGGCGAGCAGGCGATTTGCAAGATTGCATTGAACGCCATGACATTGTCGGATCAGACCATATTTTCTGCCTGTCGATAGATTTATGCTTGGCCAAAGAGCATTCAGACCTTACAGATGACCATACAAAACAGTTCTGGATTGAGAATGGATTGAGAAAATGAAAAATGGCCAGGTCATTGGCGTTGGCGGTGGGCCAAGTTGTGAGACATGGTCTGCTGCCCGTCATTCACCAGATGGACCACCCCCTGTGCGTTCATTCGACTGCCCGTGGGGGAAAACAGGCCTGAGTGCCAGACAGTGGAAGCAGGTACTCACAGGCACAAAGCTCATCCAGTTCTTAGTTGACCTCCTAGTCCTGGCGGCACAGATCGGACTTTGCGGATTTCTGGAACACCCTCAATTCCCAGTTTGGATCATGCGGCAAAGGCCAGCGTCCATATGGACATTGACTGCCCTTAGGATTCTTGCCAGACTGGAATGCTTTCAGATCTGCTCTTTTGATCAATGCGTGTATGGCTTGGGGGCGACCAAGCCCACTACATTATTGCTCCTCAGGCTGAGCACATTCAAAGACATCACGCTCACGAAAGGGCTTCGAGGGAGGTGCTCGCATCATTCCGGCCATCGGCCCCTGCAAGGAATTCAAAGCGATGGCACTTTTTCCACAGCCAGGGCGAAGATTTACCCTGCCGCCATGAATCAGGCCATCGCATTTGCAGTGTCCAGGTTTTTGACCGACCGACAATTGAAAACCAATTGGAGTACGTTACCAGAGGACCTGCAAAAATTAAATTGTACAGATTTTGTCGATGAAGGCACTGTTCAGCCCGACTTTCATCGAATGCACTGCAAGTAGTCCAAGCGTTGATCGACGCAGCAACAGCAAAGTGACAAAAAGGTAGTCTTCGACCCCCCCAAAGATGGCTATGTTCAATTTCCATAGCTGTCTCTGGATGCGACGGCTTCATGGGATGGGATCCTACAAAAAATGAAGCCAGAAATGATCTATAGATATCTATAGATACTACACCAGTAGTAGTTGGATAATAGTTATTGGTTCTAATATTAGATACTTAAGATACCAATATACAAATGGATCAAAAAGCATGGTGGTTACTCATAACTCATATGGCTATGGTTCAGGAGCTATGAAATACGTTGAAATACCATGAATCTTGCTGGGATGAACATCCACGTACCAGCTACTTGGGTGTTTCCCAGGGTACTGATGATGTTTTGATCCATACCTAGCTGAGTTCCTGGTTTTGCTCCTTGCCTCCCTGTCCATTCAACGTGGTTTTTGAACCACGTTGCTGAGCAAGTCCCATTGATGTGCCAGCAGGTCAAAACATGGTTCTGGGTAGATTATAGTGACCCCACTGTTCTCCTCACTGGAATCATGGTCAGTAAGGGGAATGATCTTCAAATGGCCTTGTTTCAGATGGTTTATTGTCTCATAAACGGGGATGGTCAGCCCCCCATTAACACTTTAGGGTTAATATATCCATTGTAAGGAATCCCATTCACGATGATGTGATGACCATTCCCTACCATGATTTGACCGTGGCACAAAAGAATGATGGTTCAGACAGCATCAAATCAAAAGCAGCCAAGTTTAGGCTTCTATGTGAATTACTTCAACATGTACATCATCCAGATGTTTGGTTGCTTAAATCAGTTAAATCAGCAAGCATGGTTTCTTGGAAAAATCACCACATTCCAGTTTTGGGGGTAGTTATTTTTGGGTTAACTATCACCACATTCCAATCTTTTTTTGTTGGATAGATTCCCCACATTTCTCTCTCAAAAATGGATGGGGAAATCTACCAGAAGACCCGAGATCGTTGGGGGCTTTTCAACGGACCGTTTCCTTTTTTGAGTTCCTACTATTCATCAATCCATTCTTCCAGAAATTTCACTCGTGATTGTTGCTGCAACTCTCATTTTTGCCAAACATCTTATCTGGTTGGTGGTTTCAAACATGGCTTTTATTTTCCATTTCATATATGGGATGTCATCCTTCCCATTGACGAACTCCATCATTTTTCAAGATGGTGAAATTGCACCACCAAGCAGATGGATACCCTCTGGTAAACTGTCCCAAAAAACTATATGGAAAGATCCACCATTTTATATCTGGGTAAATCCACCAGTTCAACCAGTTCATCATACTATAAATCAGCATTTTCAATAGCTAATGTCATGTTCAATCACTGTAAATCCACTATAAATCCACCATAAACTGCCGACCCAACCTGGCCCAAGCATTGCCAGGTTGATGGAGGAGCGGCCTGGAGGTGAAAAGGAAGTGTGCCATGGTTTGACAAAGTTTCCAGAAACTGAGCCATGAAAAGAAAGTGGCGAAAAAATCCGTGATTAATGGTGATTAATGGTGATTAATGGTGATTAATGGTGATTAATGGTGATTAATGGTGATTAATGGTGATTAATAGTGATTAATGGTGATTAATGGTGATTAATGGTGATTAATTGTGATTAATAGTGGTGATTAATAGTGATTAATGATGATTTTGCTGGTGATTCATGGAACATATGTATGTTTTCATGTTTTCTCTTGTTGAAACAGGTTGCCTTTTGGGAGTTACACTACCTAATTTATTGGGGATTACTATAACCAACTAGTATTTCATGAGATGAGGTATGGGGATTTTTAATGGCTCAACTAGCTACCCATTTCTGGGCTGCAACCCGATTTCAGACGCACCCACATTTTTTTGGGTCACACATTTTTTTGTTTTTCAGTAGAGGTATATTCGCATGTACATATATATATATATGGATATATTATATACATTGTATACATATATGTATATATAATATACACATAAAGTCATTTTTTGGGGCAGAACGATTGAATGATATATATATATATGTATGTGTGCCTATACGCCGACGCCTAAAGATGGATCTTTTTAAACACATATTTTGGATGTATTTGGGTTCCTTGGCTTTTCCTTTGAGGTCTTGTCAGATAAGGAATTGCCATTGAAACCCAGAATTGGTGGGAAAATCTACAAGGGTTCTACCCCTATATTTTTTTTCAGGGCAGTAAATCACATGATTTCACTTGTAAAGGGGATATGTTCCCCAGTGAAGTATGCGTTACCAACGACTTTCTATGGCTTATCAAAGACATAGCGACCTCACGACGACTTCCTTGAACATGGTGATCTTGATATTTATATTACGGATATAAATAGGTATACTTACATGATATAAATCTATCAAACAGACATACTTGATATCCTATCAGTATATCCAATTGATATCAATAATAATGGTGATTTGATATATGATTAATAGGATATTAATAGGATATCCATGGGATGTAATCTGATGGTTTTCCTGGATTTGTGTCAACTCGATTTTTGTCATTGTCCCTTTGGGAACGTCCACTTCTGAATGGGAATCTATAAGGAATATGTTTATTTTGTACGGGGGTTCCTTAGGCAAATCCAAGTGTAGCAGGAGTTTCATCCAAAGATGGCTGGCATCTGATACCACATTTGTCCACTTTAAGGGAGCGAACACATTTTTTTTTAGCCCCACAATAAGTCATGGCAACATGGGTCATTTTCCTGCTGTGATTCATTGGGCTTTTCAGATAGTTTTTTGGTGTCATGAATTTTTCAGGATTCCATTCATAGTGGGGCCATAAGTTTTTCACCCGTGAAAATCCCCATGTTTTTTTTTTGCGGAACGCCCAGATGTTCCGCGTTGCGAGTTTTTGCCTCCAAGATATCCCAAGATCCAATCGCCGGACCCAGTTGGGTAGCGAAAACCCATGAAAGATACCCGGTGATTTTGTTAGGATATATACTGTATATATATATATTTATACTACCACTAACCATGGCTTTGAGTAGAGTATTTATTTGCATTGGCCGTGTTCATCTCTGTGTCAGATGGGTTAAACTATGATGAAACCATTTTCTTTGTGGTTAAGCATTTAAACAGTGTTTAACCTTCATTGTTGATGGTTACACCCCCTATATTTAACATGCAACCCCAATTTGTAATAGGCTTTTGCAGATGATTTTCTCGAAGGACATAGTGAGAGGAATGATTTCCATTTCAGTAATTTCACGCAGCGAACTGGAAATTCACCATTTTTTTCCGTACATCATTATTTTTATACACATAGCGTTCTTAAATCAAAGAAATGGTGAATAAATGGAAGCCATGGCCCATGGTGTATCCTAAATAAAAACATTTTTTCGCCATGGCTTCCATAGCTCTTAAATCATCACTGGTTGGTGGTTTCAAGCATGGCTTTTATTTTCCATTTCATATATGGGATGTCATCCTTCCCATTGACGAACTCCATCATTTTTCAAGATGGTGAAATTGCACCACCAAGCAGATGGATACCCTCTGGTAAACTGTCCCAAAAAACTATGGAAAATCACCATTTTCAATGGGTAAATCCACTATTCAACCAGTTCATCATACACCATAAACTGCCGGGCCTTGTCGTTCAAGGTATGACGAACTTCCGAAGGTCGAACTTCACATGCGCAGCGTCTGGAAGGTCTCCCTACAGGCGGGACACCGGCGAAAAGGGCACCCGTTGTGACAAACCTGGGCTGACATTAGCTATTGAAAATGGTGATTTATAGTGGATTTACCCATGAACAATGGTGATTTTCCATAGTTATGTTAGTTTACCAGAGGGTAGCCATGAATGATGGTTCATAATGGTTGATCCCAATTAATATCTATTCAGAATGGTCAATATCCACCGACACGGGTAAATTACCAAACCCCGCGACCGAAACAGCCGAAAAACAAAATGGTTTGGATTGGGGGAACTTGGCCTTCAACAGCCGAACTAAAACTTTTCAAATTAGTGTTTCGTATTAAAAAAAATCTGAAAACACAAAAATATGAATCTGAAAACGATTACTCTGTTTCATAACTAATCCAACTCTGAGTTTACCCTTCAGATCCTCTGGTGCCATCGGACACGCGGAGACACCGGAGATGTTGGACTTCCCGCGGAGAGTCTTCTTTAAAAAAAAGGATTATGTAATATCTATTTATCATTAGTTATCTGTAGAATATCTGTAGAATTACTATTACTTGCAACTCTTTTCTAGAAATTATGACCTATAGCTATCAATCTTGTTTTGTGATATTTTCTACCTATCTATAGCTATCTATACCCTTATAGTTACTATTAGTTACCTATACAAACATCGCCCCAGCCCATCGCCCCACAGAGGATGCGCCCGCCAGGAGATGATGCGGCGACGACACCACGGGATGGTCTTGGCCATGCGCGGGGCATCTGATGAGATGAGGAGATGACATTTTTTCGGTGACACTTTAAGGGAAACCAACATGGTTACCCAACCTGGTTATGACATTCACAATCCGCCATGGTTTTTCGATGGCCCTAATCGAAATTTAGATGGTTTACCGAACTTAATAGCATGGTGATGGCTTCCATGGCGAACTGTTAAATAACCAGATGGTACCATTTATAGTCGATAAAAAAACACATATATATATAATATATATATATTTACACCTGGTTGGTGGTTTGGAACATGTTTTTTTTTAACTTTCCATATATTGGGAAGAATCATCCCAACTGACTTTCATATTTTTGGGAGGTGTTTAAACCACCAACCAGATGGTAAATTGAAGATATAGCATTTGTAGTCGATTTACCCATTCAAAGCTTCATTTTGTTGGGAATTTTCAATTGTTATCGTTGATTACCAGAGGGTACATAGGGAACATCTAGAATTATTAGAAGACAGGTTTGTTAATCAGTCAATCTGCGGGCTTAATGGGAAAATCAACTATGAATGGGGAATAACATGGGATATAATGGGGATGGTGCCCCCATTTTTGAACTTCGACTTTGCCATTTTGTGATGGAACTCATTCCAACATTGTTGAATCTCCCATATGGTGGCTAGGAGGGAACGGTGAAGGCAGCGGGAGCCTAATTACGCAGGAGGTGTCCCTGGAGCCACTAAGAGTTGGTATAACTGCTTCAGAAATCATGGCCAGTTATCTTCAAGGCTTTCAGCGAACCGGCGAACCGTGTTACCGTCATTGCTAACTTCACTTTCAAGAACATCAAAACACAACAACACTAAAGGAAGAGACATTTTCTCACGCGGAGCTTCAACTGAACACATGGGTGCTAAAAGAGATACTGGATGACTGAGAGACATGATCAGCGGACCAGAAACATGTCTTGACTTTTACCCATTTTCACTTCACTTTCGAAGCGCAAAGAGATGAATTTGTAATTCCAAATTTCATACTCATTGGGGCTGATATTGAAAAAATATGAAGAAATATCATCCGAGGTTACATCCCTATCTTGGGGTTTGAACCTACCTTCTACTTCTGGTTTGTTTCATGGTACTTTTCGTGCTCCCTATGAAAGGAAAACATGTCATAGCCGATTTATGTCAAGGGGATTTAGCCAACCCCATGATATGTTAAGGATGTTAAGGAGTTTAAAAAACCTCTTGATATGTTAAGAATAAGAACATTAAGGGGATTTAGCCAACCCCATGATATGTTAAGGATGTTGAGGGGGATTTAGCCAACCCCATGATATGTTAAGGATGTTGAGGGGGATTTAGCCAACCCCATGATATGTTAAGGATGTCAATTAAGGGATTTAGCCAACCTCATGATATGTTATGGATGTTAAGGGGATTCAGCCAACCTCATGATATGTTAAGGATGTTAAGGAGATTTAGCCAACCCCATGATATGTCAAGGATATTAAGGGGATTTAGCCAACCTCATGATATGTTGAAGATGTTAAGGGGATTTAGCCAACCCAATGATATGTTAAGGATGTTAAGGGGACTTAGCCGACCTCATGATATGGTCAGGATGTTAAGGAGATTTAGCCAACCTCATGATATGTTAAAGGATGTTAAGGAGTTTAAACAACCTCATGATATTATAGGATGTTAAGGGGATTTAGCCAACCTCATGATATGTTGAGGATGTTAAGGGGATGTAGCCAACCTCATGATATGTTAAGGTAGCAAACCTCATGATATGTTAAGGATGTTAAGGGGATTTAGCCAACCCCATGATATGTCAAGGATGTTGAGGGGATTTAGCCAACCCCATGATATGTTAAGGATGTTAAGGAGTTTAAAAAGCCTCATGATATGTTAAGAATAAGAATGTTAAGGGGATTTAGCCAACCCCATGATATGTTAAGAATTTTAAGGGTTTTTTTGCCAATCCCATGATATGTTAAGGTAGTCAACCTCATAATATGTTAAGGACGTTAAGGGGATTTAGCCAACCCGATGAAGGATGTTAAGGAGATTTAGCCAACCCAATGATATGTTATGGATGTTAAGGGGACTTAGCCGACCTCATGATATGGTCAGGATGTTAAGGGGATTTAGCCAACCTCATGATATGTTAAGGATGTTAAGGAGTTTAAACAACCTCATGATATTATAGGATGTTAAGGGGATTTAGCCAACCTCATGATATGTTGAGGATGTTAAGGGGATGTAGCCAACCTCATGATATGTTAAGGGTGTTAAGGGAATTTAGCCAACCCCATGATATGTTAAGGATGTTGAGGGGATTTAGCCAACCCAATGATATGTCAAGGATGTTAAGGGGATTTAGCCAACCCCATGATATGTTAAGGATGTTAAGGGGATTTTGCCAACCCCATGATATGTTAAGGATGTTAAGGAGTTTAAAAAGCCTCATGATATGTTAAGAATAAGAATGTTAAGGGGATTTAGCCAACCCCATGATATGTTAAGGATGTTAAGGGGATTTAGCAAACCCCAAGATGTGTTAAGGATGTTAGGGGGATTTAGCCAACCCCATGATATGTTAAGGATGTTACTGGGATTTAGCCAACCCCATGATATGTTAAGGATGTTAAGGGGATTTAGCTAACCCCATGATGTGTTAAGGATGTGACGGGGATTTAGCAAACCCCATGATGTGTCAAGGATGTTAAGGGGATTTAGCCAACCCCATGATATGTTAAGGATGTTAAGGGGATTTAGCAAACCCCATGATATGTTAAGGATGTTAAGGGGATTTAGCCAACCCCATGATGTGTTAAGGATGTTACGGGGATTTAGCAAACCCCATGATGTGTCAAGGATTGTAAGGGGATTTAGCCAACCCCATGATATGTTAAGGATGTTAAGGGGATTTAGCCAACCCCATGATGTGTTAAGGATGTGACGGGGATTTAGCAAACCCCATGATGTGTCAAGGATGTTAAGGGGATTTAGCCAACCCCATGATATGTTAAGGATGTTAAGGGGATTTAGCAAACCCCATGATATGTTAAGGATGTTAAGGGGATTTAGCCAACCCCATGATGTGTTAAGGATGTTACGGGGATTTAGCAAACCCCATGATGTGTCAAGGATTGTAAGGGGATTTAGCCAACCCCATGATATGTTAAGGATGTTACAGTAAGGGGATTTAGCCAACCCCATGATATGTTAAGGATTTTAAGGGGATTTTGCCAACCCCATGATATGTTAAGGATGTTAAGGGGATTTAGCAAACCCCATGATATATCAGAATCTGAACCATGTATTGTTCAGGAGGTCATTGAAACGGGCGGATTCCGGGTACCGCAGGATGAATGAAGCCGTTTTCGAAGACGCCTGCCTGCAGAAGTTCGTGGTCTATCCTCGCCCCTTGACGAACTGGTTCTCGGGGCAAGCCCTATCGAACTTGGTGTTCCAAAATGGGAGCCTATTGATACCTATCGTAGTATAGTCAATTGGTAAAGACAACTGGGTAAACACTTAAAACATGTGGGGATGGGTCCAGACCTATCTAATTATTGTTAAAATTACCATTTTTGGGGGGGATAAACATCCATTCACCAGCTATTTTAGGGTACCTAGGGCACCAGGGTTTTTACCCAGAGGGATGATTTGTGTGTATGTGTTTTTTCCTTGCAGCAATAAAAAGGTGTTTTTGTCTTCAGTTAGTGAAGGGTAGTTAGTAGTTAACCAAAATGTAAACATTGGGCATACTTTAAGACCAATAGTTCAGGAATGTTTAGGATATATCACTCAAAAAAGGAATGACATATGTTTATCATGTCAATGTGAACCACTTGGTGAGTTGGCTAGTTGAGGATACAACTGCATCCGTAATACAATTTGATGCTGATATTTTATGAACCTTATCCAAGATTAGCAGAGCCTTTGGATTTTTGGGGCTTTCTTCGGCTACATACTGTCGCGACTTCGGGTAAATCTTGGTGCTTAGATGACCTGGCCACAGCGTTCGAAATCGTTTGAAATCTATTGGAACTGATCAGTTCTATCAGAATATATACTGTATATATATATATACATGTTGTAAAGATTGTGTACATATACTATATCATAGTGTGGTAGAATATAATAATATATATATTCTCTATATATATATATTGTGTATATATATATAAATATTAAAAAAAAAACTGATCCCGTATTAATTAAATAAATAAGTAAATGAAAAACAATATATTATATGTTGTTAAAACCAATTCTATCAGAATATATATATATGTATACATCAGAATAGACATGACACTAAAGACACATGTAGCATGTTACACCGTATTTGACACTAGATTTTTTAAATGAATTTACAGCATCAGAAGCTTAACCAAGCAGGTTTCTTGTTGGGAGTGGAACTGGCATTGCACCGGAGAAGAGCCTTGGAAAAATCGTCCTTTCCTTTCGATGTTTCTCCGCATCTTTCATGGGCAACAGAATGGGGATTGGTCAAGTCAAACGCATTCAAAAGCTATTACCATCTGGTTATGACTAACATAGCCATGGAAAATCACCATTTTTAATAGGTAAACCATCTATAAATGGGCCATTTTCCATGGCTGTGTTAAATAACCAGATGGTACCATATTTTGGGAATCATCAATAAACCAGCTATTTTAGGGTACCATATGGGTACCAAAGTACCAAATATCCCCACAACAGATCTAAATCAGATGCGTTTCGCATTTTAAGAATAAGATCTGTCATTGATCGCATCCCAGGAAGCTCAAAACAACTACTTTGGTCGACGTTTGGCAGTTTCCTGTTGCTCGGCTGGTGGGTTAGGTCGGTGAACATAACTAGGTGAACTATGTTTTATGGTAGATTTTAGATAGATCTATAGTTAAGGGGTGCAAAGAAAATGCAACTTGGGGTCCCCACCTTGTAGCTTTGGGATTATCAAAAGGTGGCTTTATTTAAGTGGCTTTGTCTGAAAAATCTGCGAAAATGGTGGAGTAACGAACAGAAACCAACAGAAATGGGTCGTGTAGACAAGCGGCCAGAAATGGACGAAAAAGACACGGGTTTACCCTCAGATCAAGCGGATTCATATAGCCATGAGGCTATCACAACTTGGAGAGGGGCCATGTCATCAGCGAAATCAGGGAACCATGTCGTAGATCAGGATCTTCCATGTGTTCATGCAGATGTATAGCAAGCCGCAAAAGGATAGAAAAGTTGGACACCTGGAAAAGATGGGACAATATCAACTATACCATTCTGGAAAGACTTTTCTATCTTTTTGGAGGTTACAAAAAAACCATTGTCCATCCAGATACTGAAAGAAAACATCGGCTTCAAGTATCACTGGATCAGTTTTGCTGAAGGGTATGTTTAGATAGTTTGACTAATGTTTGGTAACCTTTACATGTTGGATCTAAGCTTGCAAGGTCAATAGATGGACATCTTTCCCAGGATGCTATGTATAGATTTTAGATGTTACCTCTCAGTTTCCAGTCTTGGGCTCGCAACCCCAAGAAAGATAGAAAAGGACAATTCTACAAAACGTTTTGGCAGATCAAACCTTTTCTCTGGTGTTGGAGGTTACCCTATCAAGGTATTGGATTAAAAAAAAGACCCACACCTGAGACACCTGTGCCGTGTATTCCTTCGCCCTGCGAAAGACCCTTGCAGCTGCACCCAATCTTTGCCCAAAATTAGGATCTTGTGGGACCTGGTGACCATTCCTTTGGGTATCTTTGATTTGCCGGACTTCATTCACTTCCTCAGCATTATTGCAAGGATTGTGCTGGGCCGAAACCCCAACCCCAAGGAAACCATGATATTTATACAAAAGGCCAGGTAAAATGAGGAAAATGAGGGTCATCACACCCAATTTTTGGTTAAATCACCATCTTTGAGGCGTGAGTTGGCTATGATTTGTATCGCCTTTTCCATCGCAATCTCGGAGAAGCTTGATATGATTGTCATGTACCCAGTAATATACAGCTATGGGGCTATGGCAGCTATTTCACACGTAATTCGAATGTGTAATGAGCAATTTTCCAAAGCAAACTGTTAAGTTATCAGTGGCTAGTCAGGTTGGATTCTCATTCCACAACATCATCCCATCATATGATTCTATATAGCCATTATAGCCGTTATAATCCACTATATCTCTATCTCTGTTTTGGTCCTTTGTGTCGCTGGAAATTGGTGCAACAAAAGGGATTCAGAACTGGTACCTCTTCAGCAAACATGGCTCGCTGGGAAATTCCCGACAAAAATGGAGGTATTATTTATATATATATAATATAATGGAATGGAAAAACATGGGGGAAAAAACGAACTAAATGGTGAGATTAATGACTGGGAAAATCATCGAACTTAATGGAAAAACATCTCCAGGTCTGGAGCTGATTCCCAGGGGCGGGTCATTTTTGGGTGCAGTTTTGCGCCAAGTAACGCACGTCCAGGCTGACTGAATCGGAAGCAGGTCTCTGCCAATTCAAACATGGGGAGCTAGCTAGTTGGAGCTACGAATTGAATTTCCCACATGCTATCAGTTGGGTCTCTAACTAACTTGGACGGTTTTTTCCGGTACAAGCTTCATTTTTCTGCTATTTTCAGAGGAAAAGCACAACAAAGAGTAACAAGTGGATTTAGAGGTACCCCTATATTCAGACCAACCAATGTACGAACACCGTCTGTTGGTGAAAACTCAAGTGATTTTGCTGAAAATAAACCAACTGCTTAGGTGGAAACATTCCCTCACAAAGGTATCAATGGGATATCATCCATATTGATCTTGTCTCATAACATTGAATTTCATCTTTGGTGGTTATATCCCGATGAGATCTCCAACATTGTCCAATCCCTATGGATCCAAACACTGAGCAGGTATTTTTTGACCCCTAAATCATCCCCCAAGAACTTCCTACTTGGATCCATAGGGAATGGTCTCCCATGATGGCCCCCAGTCACAGGGTCTCCTTCTTCTATTGGCTCATCGACATGCCATTGCACTTCCTCTTCGGAATTGAGATAGGGGGAGCAGCGGAGCTCAGACCCTCCAAATTGGCCAGGCGGAATTGTGACAACTGGGGAGGTACGATCACCATGATGCTTCCCTGCCATTCCCGAAAAGCATCACTACTACGACTACAAGTTAAACCAACTTGGCAGGGGGAGCTGGGAAGTAAGCGGGTAAACTAGATCTTTTGCCACCGAGAAAATATGGGGCTTATCTCAACTTATGGGCGTAAAATAACCGCAAGTGCATGCCCAACTGGGAGATAATGGGAGACTTTATTGTTGATGTCAGAAATCCATGGGACCTCCATACGTAATTCCTCTACAGATCCTGTATATTGGATGAGCACCTATTATTAACATCTGGGGATAATTACTACCACTACTACTCGTACCACCACCACTTGCACTACTATTGCTGCCAGTACCACTACCCCTACCCCTACCACTACCGCTACCACTACTCCTACTACTGCTGCTGCTGCTACTACTGCTACTGCTACTACTGCTACTACTACTGCTGCTACTACTGCTGCTACTACTGCTACTACTACTACTGCTTTTACTGTACTACAACTGCTGCTACTGCTTCTAGTGCTACTACTGCTCCTACTAACTACAACAGCAGCAAGAACAATAAGAGCACCGCAAACACTAAATTCACACTAAGAACAAGAACAAGAACAACTGTATCCCATTATTGATGGTTAATTCCTGATGAATGTTCATTAATAATTTATATATATATATATTCCCAAAAAACTGATCAACACCTTCCTTCACCACTTCCTGGTCCCAGGCGCTATTTTCAGAGTTGGTTCCTCGGATGCATGGCTCCTGAGTGTGTGCCTTATACCTGTCAGAGACAGGCAAGGTTAAACATCGGTGAACCATACGGGGTTGACGTCACTCATTATTTCATTATAACTTTTAGCTCTTACATAAAGATTTTAATGGATATTGTCAGGTTATAATGATCAATGAACACCCATCATATTCATGAAATAGTCGATGATTAAAATTTACAATCAGTAAAACATCATTATAATTCTTTTGATAGAGATTGTAGTTCATGATTAAGTGATTGCAAGGAAATAGCTGTCAGGTTGACAATAGCCCCATTCAATGGGGACGGGTGCGCTAAAATATGTATAGAAGGCAACCTCCCAGCAGATGCACAACATTATAAAATCCTATAAAGACTTACTAAGACTTACTGGTTCTTTTCTTGTGGGTTACCCTCTGGTAGACTAACATAATAATGGAACATGACCATTTCTAATAGGCAATCATTCATACATTAGCAATTTATTGACCATTCCATAGCTATGTTGGTTAACAAGAGGGATACTACCTAAAATGTCCTAAAATAGTCTAAAATACACTCCAGTAAATTAACATAGACCCTGGCAGCTAGGGGTTGGAAGATTAGTTTCCACTAAACATGCCCTATTTTCAAGGCTGTCAATTTATTGAAAGCTAAATTCAACGCAGTTCAGCGGGGTCCCGGGGTCCGTCCACTCCTGGAAGTTCACCAGGTTCCTGATCGACCTCCTAGTGATTACCATGGACGCAAGCATCATCTTAGTGGAAATTTTTGGGAACTTTTCGGAGGCTCGGGAGTCGGCCGAACGCGAGACGAGACTCTTCAGTTACTCTGTTTTTAGATGTTTTTTGTATGATCAACAAGATTCAATAAGCGCCTGGTGTGTTTAATGGTTCATTTGCTAGAACAAGGTGACCAGTCACAGGAATGGTTTAAGTCATAGGCCCTGGCAGTGTCTGAAAACCGCGTACTGTCTGTACCCCAAATCCAAGGGTTCAAAACCTGGATTTTCCGGGAGTAAAATTGCCATAAATCATATTGGCTGGATACCAATAGTACCGCACAAGACGTTCGCGCAAGTTTCAAAAATAGGAAACCTATAGTAGAGGTTGGTTGTTGTGAATCACGGATGGCAGAGCGAATCCACTGTTTGACCGAAAGGTGGTTGGAGTTGTGTTTTTTGGAATGGTTGCAGTGGTTGCAGTGGTTGCAGTGGTTGCAGTGGTTGCAGTGGTTGCAGTGGTCACCTCATCACAACTGCTGGATGTAGTGTGGTGTAGTGCAGTTGTAGTTGTAGTTGTAGTGTAATGGAGTTGTAGTTGTAGTGTAGTGTAATTAGTCTAGTGTAGTTGCAGTTGCAGTTGCAGTTGTATTAGTGTAGTCTAGTGTAGTGTACTGTAGTGTTGTGTACTGTAGTGTGGTATAGTGTAATGTAGTCTACTGTAGTATATATAGTGATTATAGTGTAAAGTAGTGTAGTTGTAGTTGTAGTTGCAGTTGTAGTTGCAGTGTAATTTGTGTAGTGTAGTGTGGTGTAGTATAGGGTAATGTAGTGGTAGTTGTAGGTGTAGTTGTAGTTGTAGTTGTAGTGTAACGTGAGAGAACTAGTGTAGTGTAGTGTAATGTAGTGTGTTTGTAGTTGTAATTGTAGTTGTAGTTGTAGTGTACTGCAGTGTAATTAATGTAGCGTAGTTGTAATTGTAGTTGTAGCTGTGGTGGTAGTAGTAGTAGTAGTAGTAGTCGTCGTCGTAGTAGTAGTAGTAATAGTAGTAGTAGTAGTAGTAGTGGTAGCAGCAGCAGCAGGAGGCGGAGGAGGAGGAGTAGTAGTAGTAGCAGTAGTAGTGGTAGTGGCAGTGGTAGTGGTAGTTGTGGTTTATTTTTGGTAGTAGACGTAGTAGACGTAGTAGAAGTAGTAGTAAGAGAAGTTGTTGTTGTTGTTGTTGTTCTTGTTGTTGCAGTCGTAGTGTAACTAGTGTAATTAGTGTAATTAATGTAATTAGTGTAGTGTAATTAGATGTGATTAGTGTAGTGTAGTGTAATGTAATTAGTGTAGTGTAATGTAGCGTAGTATCTTTGTATTTGTAGTCGTAGTAGTAGTGTAGCGTAGTGGTAGTTGTAGTTGTAGTTGTTTATCTATCTGTCTATCTGCCTATCTGCAAGCTTGAAAACGAAGGTAATCTGCGAGACTTCCTCAATTTTTCAAGTTGACAGCATCAAAAACGAAAAAAATCTGCGAGACTTCCCTCAATAATGGAAAGTTGAGTGCAGAGCGGACGGCCTCGTACCAATACGTTTTGCGATTTTTCCACTCCATCTGTCTAAAGTATTGCGCCTGCCACAAAAAGTGAGGCCAGGTCATACGAAGTGCTGCACCTGTCACACAAAATCATCTTCCCAAAACTGAAGATCTGATGCTCCAAAATGCAACCCTTCTCAGGAAACCAGCGCCCGGACCACCTAACATCTCTGATGAACATGTCTCTTGTACTGCACCTGCCACGGAAAATGCAGATCCTCTTGAACTCATCGTTTTCGGAAATGCTACAAAACCTTCACGTTTTGCTCACTTTTGACAAGGTGCAGAATCCCTTGCACCTGCCATGCATAACCACGTCTGAACCTTCCAAAGTGGTCCGGGCATGTAGTGTTTTTAACATTTTGACTTGGAAATGTGCTTCGCGCCACAACGTTGCGCACTTTTTCGACATCTCAACTCCCCAGATGGCTCCGCACCCGCCGCTTTAGCGAGCCTACTTTTCGACCCTCCGCAGCCACAAATCATTGGAAAAACATAATGTATCACGACGTTTCTACCTTTTCGCGCACCTGCATCTCCTTTCTTCGCACTTTTTCTCTTCTCTGATCTTCTCTCTTCTGCTCTTCTCGTCTCTGACTCTTCCCACCTCTGCTTTCCCATCTGTCCATATTGTCGGAAGTTTGACTTCTAAACTTCCTTCGACAACATAAATATATATATATATATACATGGTCTTGTGATCGGTGTTCCTACCCCCCGCCCACCCCCCCAATGGTATGGGTCCCCAGGTTGCACCCCCTTCCCTTCTATTTGCAAGCTATTGGCAGCATTTCTGAGGTCCACCCTCGCATTTGCTAGGTCTTTGCTGCATTTCTGACTACCAGCCTCGCATTTACTAGGTGCATGCTATTAGATGACCTACGTAGCACACATACTCCCTCAAAGTACCTACGTGCTACCTATAGTCATATGTACATGTGCTATGTATCTACTTCCTATATATATATGTATACATTATAGATACATACATACATACATACATACATACATACATACATACATTACATACATACATACATACATACATATATATATATTTGCACATACACACATATATAATATACACATATATAATATACACATATATATATACATGCATGCATGCATACATACATATACACATATATACATATATATACACATATATACGCATATATACACATATATACACATATATAAACATATATAAACATATATAAACATATATAAACATAGACACACATATATACACATACATACACATATATATACACATATATAAACATATATACACATATATACACATATATACACATATATACACATATATACACATATATACACATATATACACACACATATATATATATATAATACACACACACACATATATATATATATATGCGCAGTACCACACCCCCGCCACACCACAGGGGGGAGGGGGGACAGTACCACACCCCCACCACACCACAGGGAGGGGAAGGGGACAGTACCACACCCCCACCACACCACAGGGGGGGGAGGGGCACAGTACTATGGCTGACCCATGACCATGGCCGGGGGGGAGGGGGGTTGGAACTCTGGACCATATATATAGACATCCATTTACATCCCGACTTTTTTTTCTCCATGTAAAGGTCAAAAACTCACATAGCAGGCCCATATCGCCCACATCCATGGGTTTTGCCATAAATTTAATGTATCACTGTCTCTCACTTTGAGGGTATGGGATAGCCCAGAATATCTAGGAAACTTGATCACCGCTTTCTGTCTCGCTTGGGGGGCATTTAAACCATCTTAGAGTTTTTTGCAGCATCCTGGAGTGTCTTGAAGCGGTTGCTGCAGATTCTTCCAGCACTGGGGTGCTGGATTCTTGCTCCGCATGCTGAGCATGTGGGATCTTTTTGGACCAACCATATTATGGCCTTGTAATGCCTTGTAACTTTTCAGTCAGCCCGTGAGGTCTGAGAGCCGCAAGCTTTCAGCAACTGAAGCAATTAGATTTTCCCAAGGCCTAGATTTTTCATGGTTCATCATGATTTCCCATTGAAATTGGTGATTTTAGTAGGCTTCCTACTCCATGTCGGTCCATTTCTGGACAAACCGGAAAAAAACAGTTCCATAACTTTGGTGGGATAATCATTTTCTTTAAAACCTCAGTGTCCCCAATATCATATTGCTGGTCATATATCCCGGTACAATCCACAGAGTATCCGCAGTAAATCCCCACTACAAAAAAACAAATAGTTATCTGGCAGTCGCACTATGGGATAAGCCGGGATATGCATCAGATATGAATAGATATGGACACATGTCAAAATCAGGGTTTCCAGTTAAAATGTTCCCTGAAACAAACACTATATCACCATTTCTCCTAGTTAATTTTCCATTGAAACGATGGTCATATCCATTTTTGCTGGCTAAGTAACCACAAGAGATCATAAAACCCATGGATGCCAGAACTGACATGTGGCATATTATAAAGTTGATTAGGATTGATTAGGTATATATATACACATATATATATATATTTATAATATATATATATACATATATATATATTTATTTATACATATTTATATATATCCCAAATATCATCCTCAATCCCCAATCACCCCAGATTATCTCCATCGCCAGAACGGGTCGACGACACTGAGCCCCTTCCATACCGCGCGCTTCCTACGTGCCTTGCGGCTGCTACGTTTGTTACGCCTCTTGCGCGTGGCCAAGTTGCAACAGGTTCGCCGAAAGGTTTCCAGAGCTGGTGGGCAAACTCTGATTTGCTGAGTTAGATGTTTTTTCGGGGGTCCAAAAAAGCAAATCAAAGCTAGGAAAGGTCATGCTGTTCCAACTTGCTAAGCTGTTTTTTTTTCACTCATATTCCACTGTTGGGCGGTAGATATCTATATAGTTAGACAAGGTTATAACTTGTCATAAACCAAAAAACAGTGGGGGTCGCCAAAATTTTCCGGGTGCCCCCTACTGCCTCTAGTAAATGAACAAAACCTTCAGGGATGGGTCTTGCTTTTTCAACTGGAGGATAGTGAAAATTAAGCTTGGAAAATTCCAATGATATGCGAGTACATACACATACAAACACACATGAAATATCACATTGTATGTATATATATATACACCATATATATCATATATTATATATTATGTATATATTATATTATATATACATCACATTGTATATATATATATATGTACATATAATATATACACATAAAACCAACTAAAATTGACACCTGAAAAATGCTGGTCCCAGTTAGATGACTAACTGCCGTTGTTCGATTGCTCTGGATTCGCGGCATGGAGAGTTGGTGAAAATTAATTGATCCAAAAAAGAATGGCAAGGCTTCACTAACAAAATATAATTCACATTAAATAATTAATTCCTGGTTAATCTATGGTTAATCTATGGTTAATAATGGTTGATAATGGTTGATAATGGTTAATAATTAATAATCACATATGACTCGCACCCCCTTCTGTCTATAGTGATTATGGGCTACTAGACATTACCAACTGTTTCATTTTGTTCAGAATTATCACATATATATATACTGGTTGGTGGTGACTGGAACATTTTTATGACTTTCCCATCATACTGGGAATAATAATCCCAACTGACAAATATTTTTCAGAGGGATTGAAGCCACCAACCAGACATATATATATATTATGATATATATAAAAAATCATAGAGCATCCAGAGATGTAGTCTTTATATTTCTTCATATTTATTGTCCGACTCACCCACAGTTCACCAAACATGACTTGCTCCATTTTTTTTCGGACTTCCTCTGACCGATTCGAACCTGGCAGGAGATGATGGTGTTGGCAAATCGATTCCTTACGACCCACACCTTCATGCTGATGAAAGTGCCATTCGCGAATCCGGGACGGGAAACACATGACATCAATGGCAAGCCCCAAGTGGTGGACACCTGCGGAACCCGTTTTTTTTTCACGGGAAACCACTTACCAACCATTGATGATAGTCCAATTTCCCTAATATAAAGCATCCCCACAAACCGTGGTTTAGCAGGTGATTTATACATATTTCTTCATATTACAAGATGGTATCACCAACCGAAATAGTGATATAAGATGATATAGCCGGCCAGAAATAGGTCCCAGCTGGACAGCTGGATGGGATCTTCTTCACTTGAAATTATATTTTCCAGCAACAAAAGTGGGGTCAATTTCCTGCAATTGCCAGTGCAAGGGGAACTACCTCAAAGTGCCCTTCTTTCAGATTAGTGAACTATTATGGTTCAGCCAGAATTGTTGATAAATTTCAAGAGGATCGACCGATTTACCTAATCAATGCTGGAGTGGGATTAAAAACCACCCCTTTTGAATCAACCCCGGGAAATAAACGTTCACTGGGGTGTTCACCAATTCCGGGTTAATATCATTCAAGATGGGGATTTTGAGTTGCTATACTTTGTTGAACGGATGGAGGGGAAGGGGACACACACACACACAAGAACCAAAACATTTCATGGATAAACCTAACACGCGTGCTACATATCACAAAAAAAACTGATGTTTATCTATACATACATAGTATGGCTTCGGAACATCACCACTTCAATAGGTCATACCAGGTCAATCATCGAAAGAACTGCTTCAGTCTGGTCCAGATTTTGCTCGTTGTTGCCATAGTTGTTGCTCCTTGTTCCCTCATTCTTGATTTCTGTGTCGTTATCATATCACGACATTTAGTTTGTTGCAATAGACTGTATATATAGCATATATATATACATAGATGTATAGAAAAATATATACACAAACATACTAGGGCTGTATACGTAGATTCTATGTGTATGTACAATATATATATATTCATATATATATATATATCATATATCTATATACATTGATAACATTATGATTTTACACCATATCTATATATACACATTTAAAGCGATCACTATTCCCTAGCATGACACACACACACACACTGGCCCAAGATCCCACAGGCAGTGGCGGGCGTTTGCATGCTCCTTCTCATAAACCATATCATTGCATGCTGCCTGGCGCAGGATGCTCAGGAATGATGTAAATATATGGAATATCAATGTAAAATAATGTAATATGATGTTTTCCCCGCAAAAACACTCAGAGAATGTAGCAACATCCTGCAAACAAATAGTGCTAAGACAAATAGACGCTTCTATCTTTTTCGGGGTTGCTATAGAATATGATATGTATGATAGATGCAGATGTAGCATCATTTGATGGATGTTCCATAACTCAGGAGACTTGGAGAGTAGCCAGGTGCACAAAAACATTTTGCGCTTTGCTGAATCATGCAACTTAAAGGCTTTTGTATGCAAATTTGCTCGCCTAGTTCACAATTCTGAGGAAATGATGTTCTAAACCCATCAGATGGTAAATAAAGTTTTCCCACAATTCCCATAATATCCAGCTTTCCCCATGGTCACTTTCACCTAAATTTCAACATATCTTCGGACAATTTCCCATGGGGGTGAAAATCCATAAATCCCATCAGAATAGCAGGGCTTTGACCACGGCCAGATAGCTTGATTTTGGGGTAAATTCTCCATTTGAGGACAAACCAATTTTGTCCTTCAATTTTTCCCCAAAAAAATCCAACTTCCCCAACGCTGACCATCACCAAAAGTCATGCGGTATGCCTCCAGTTGATGACAATTTGATAAGGAAAAATGAGGTTTTTGTTGCGCAATGGATTTTGGGAGCCTACCTGGCGGTGTAGTTCCACTAATAAATGATAGATAACGCTTCGACCCATGAAAATAACCTTAGCTGCCGCTTCTGTATTTTTTTTACATCACATTATCCCAGGATATCCAGAAAATCTTGGGGCAACTTCCAGCAGCTCGCTGACCAAAAGCCTGGTGAGCTTAGGCTCCTGGTATGGTATTGGCACTTGGGACTTTGAAGGCCGCAGTTGGCTGGCACGCGTGCAGATCTCTCAGGCCATGGGACCCATGGATGGGCCATGGGTTTCATCATTTTTCCCTTGGGAAAAATGATAGGATCATTATATAGGGTTTCCATAAATGATGCTACCCCAATAGATTATAGATGGTTGATTTATTAGATTTATGTTTATTTCAGAGAAAGTCATACGGACTTCAGATGATTTCAGCAGACAAATCACAGGGTTTCATGAGAAACTCATGGCGATTTCAACAAAACTATGGGATTTTCACTAATAGAAATAATAACTGAGTTCAATCCATCAAAATTAAATTCACCCGAAAGCACCTTAATTTGTTCAATGCTTATGGGGGTACATTCCAGATAGGTGAGTTGGTCCTCCTCCTCCTCCGCCTCCTCTCCATCCACTCGTCTTTATCAAAGGGATCTTTATCACACTTATCTCTCTATCCACTCTTCTTCGTCACATATTTATTTTTATCACACTTATCTCTCTATCATCTCTCTCTAGTACCTCATCTCTCACAAACTTCTCTGTCATTCTCTGTCTCAACTTATCTTTCTCAACATTTCTCTGTCAACTTCATATTTTGGGCGATGGTCATCAATCCATGAATGTTTCATATACCCAACCTGGCTATGACTAACACTTCGCCATGGGACAATTTCTGCCCCATGCTGGGATGACCATGGCCATGCACCATGGCACCAGAACGACTTTGCGGAATCCTATGCTGCCTCGATGCATTGGGCTTTGACCCAGAATCTCGGCCTTTGTTTGGCGAATTTTTGCGATTTTTGTTCACTGGAAGTTTGTTTTGCTGCTTGGGAAAGCATGAGGGGAAATGTCCTTTAGATGGGAAACCTTTGGGAAACCTTGGTCTGGAAGCCAGTCTATGGAGTTCTTATGAGTAAATTTGACTAAGAAAAGGTGGGTATAGAACCAACGGTTATGCGCTGAAACTATTGACGCCAAAGAAGTGAATGGATGTGAAGGGTTTAAGACAAAAAAACGATCAAATTTGTGATTTTCTACACTTAGACGACCCATAGACGCATGGAACGGTCGGATTTCCATCGATGGTTGGAACAGAGCAAGTCCAGTAGATTTTGATCCTGCATGACCAAGCACTTAAACTTTGCTTGTCAGATTATGAAGACTTTCAAACTAACTACATCCCTTTCTATTGGAAATATTTGGAAATCAGTTCCAAACATATTTAAGGCACCTGTAGCCTTTAACTACCATTTTGGTTGATTTTGTGGCATTGTTTTTGGGCACCACTTGAAACCATTCTCAACACATGAGCCCCAGTCTGAGTAAGCTTTGATAGCTTCATGGGTCATGGAATCGACTGGTTACTGGGTCGTATCCCGTTATGACTGAGTATATAGTGAAGTGGTTTACTATACCAGTACAAGATAAGAGATATAAATAGTATACAGTATATATATAGACTCAGACAATCCTATGGCATCCTATGGCCCAAAAAAAGGAACCGGATTTTTTCTCAGCCAGGTCTGCCAGGTTGATTTTCTGAGGTTTACTCCGTCAACCAATAACATCGCTCCCGACAACGCCATCGAACGCTTCTTCGCTCTTGGTCGCTTGGATGAACACAGCGACAGCCATCCCCCAGGTCGGCTGTGGCTGTGTCACGAACCCAAACGGTTTGACATATTTTAATGGTAAACGCGAAAAAAAAAGGCGATTTGAAGCCATAAACCCAAGGAAGTCTAGGATTTTGGGAGTATGGACAAAGCCACGTTCACTTCCCCACATTTCAGCCTTACTTATGGTAAATTTCCATAAGTATCCAACTTCTGGATTTGGGATATGTAACAACGAGTTCAGGCAAGCCATAGGTACAGTATCCCACAATATGGCACGACAACCGTATTATAACCATATGAAATGAGGCCTACATTATTGTATTATAGCATGTTATCACAGTAAGAACATATTCTACCTTTTTGCTAGGCAACTTTTCCAATGGCGGCCTCTCGTTATCTTTTGGTATCCCAACATTCTATCCCAATATCACATACTAAATACTATAATTGTATATTATCCCAATTAATTATTGAGACAGCCTATCTCAATTGATGTGATAAACCCAATAATAAACAAACTCCAAAATCCCCACTGTCATGGGTGCTATGAAACTTTTCCCAAATGGTAGGCGTGTGGCATTGGCTTGCCCACACTACACATATATATATATATATCTATATCTAAATCTATATCTATATCTAAATCTAAATCTATATCTATCTATCTATCTAATCTAAATCAAATCTAAATCAAATCTAAATCTAAATCGAATCTAGTCTAATCTAATCTAATCTTTCTATCTTTCTTATCTACCTACCTACCTACCTAGCTAGCAAGCTATCTATCTCTCTATCTATCCTATCTATCCTATCTATCCCATCCTATCCCATCCTATCCCATCCTATCCTGTACCATCCTATCCTGTACTATCCTATCCTGTACTATCCTATCCCATCCTATCCCATCCTATCCTATCCTTATCTATCTATCTGTTTATCTATCTTATCTATCTTATCTATCTTATCTATCTTATCTATCTTATCTATCTTATCTATCATATCTATCTTATCTATCCATCTTATCTATCTATCCATCTATATCTATCTATAACTATCTCTATCTATTTCTATCCATCTCTACCCATCTCTATCCATCCCTATCCATCTATATCTATCTATATCTATCTATATCTATCTTTATCCATCTCTATCCATCTCTTTCCATCTCTATCCATCCCTATCCATCTATATCTATCTATATCTATCTATATCTATCTATACTATCTATATCTATCTATATCTATCTATATCTATCTATATCTATCTATAGCTTTCCATATCTATCTATATCTATCTATATCTATCTATATAATTCTATATATCTATCTATATCTATCTATATCTATCTCAATCTGATTAATTTACTTAATCTAATCTATCCAATTTAATCCAATCCAATCCAATCCAATCGAATCGAATCGAATCTAATTTAATCTAAGCTAACCTAATCTAATCTAATCTAATCTAATCTATCTACCTATCTACCTATCTACCTATCTACCTATCTATCTATCTATCTATCTATCTACCTATCTACCTATCTACCTATCTACCTATCTACCATCACCATCAGCGGCTCAAGGAGTGGTTGTATTTGCCATTGGCATCTTCTCGAGTTTCATCACGCAGATCACTGCCACCATGAGTTCTCTACGCATGGCTCGCAGTGAGCAGAACCTGGGAACCCAAATAAACAGAGCTGGAGGTGATGGAGATCAATGACGGACAGTCATTGGATAGCTTTAAGGGACAATTTACAGGAACCTCCCTTATATTGGCCGAAACCGGGGAAAGCATGGTTTCCGGTTAAGATTCTTCCTTAAAGCCAGTGATTTCAATAAACGTTTTGGAAGAGATTTCTTGGAATGATGTTGGAATAGTGAGATGACCTTGGGAAGATGGAAACAAATTGGGATTTATCATCGAATCCCCATTAAGTAATGTCCCGTTGAGTCCCGTTGATCAATCCGGTCTTACCAATAGAATCCATTAGATGGTTCCAAGAATTCATCAGATAATCAAGTCCAAGAAATTATATTGCACTGACTGCTTTAATTAAGAAGAACACACATAAATTATGTAAATTAGAAATAATTGGATGATTAGATGAGGATTAAATGTGAGTCCGCCCGCCTTTCTCTTTCGCCTCACAGGAATCAAAAACGCGCCAAACTCTTGCAGTTCTTCAGTGAACGTGGCCTTTCAGTAGGGCTCTTTGGGCGCCTTGGAAGAACGATGGCGGGGGATCCTCCAAGTAGCGAAGAACTCTGGCAGAGGCCTCGTTTTTGTGGTCAAGTTTGCCCACAGAGTATGGGTCACATATGGTCAAATCCGATGTTTTTATGGGGGGATTACCATCCATTGGTGCTATTTTATGCTATTTTATGATGTTCACCAATGGGGTTTTGACCCATCACCACATGATGTTTTTTATCCCAAAAGCATCCAAAATCCAACAATCCAACCTTCAGTGATCAGCCCTTCCCAGGAAAGTGCAGCAAGCACTGCAGCAAGAGGGACACTTCGAAGTGCGACTGAAGGCGTTAGTCGGGTTTGGGTGTATCGTGAAATCTCGACAGTGAGAAACCGGGTTCAACTGTTTTAATTTGTTCCAGTATATTGCTATATTGTGCTGTAGTATCAATAAGCACTCCAAAAATCTGGTGAACAGGAAACTACGGGACTTACCATGCATTTGGGGGTAAACACCAGGGTTTCAACTGTCATCCTTCCCATCATTTTTTTTCATATACTTTTTGGATCACCAAAAAGGTAGAACAGTTATCTTCCAGGGCTTTGTTTTCATCTTGGCCTCATCGTTCTGGGTAAATGATCACATTTCACTAATCTGGAAAGTACGGCTACTTTGGGATAGTTACCCCCATGTTACCTAGCCATTCCAGGCCACAGGGTCACAGGGTTTTTTCGTCGTTACTTTATTTACCCGGATGTATGGATATTGACCATTATGAATAGATAATAACAATAGATATTAATTATTAACTGGGATTAACATGGATTAACCATTATCTGGTTGGTGGTTTGGAACATGAATTTCATTTTTCCATATATTGGGAATGTCATCATCCCAACTGACTTTCACTCCATCACTTTTCAGACGGGTTGGTATACCACCAACCAGTTGGGATTAACATGGATTACCCTCTGGTAAACTAACATAGCTATGGAAAAAATCACCATGCTATTAATGGGAAAATCCACTATAAATTTATAAATGGTCATGTTCAATAGCTTTTTCTATGTTTACCAGGCCGGGTAACCATTTTTAACGATCATTAACCATGATTCATAGCGAATGGTCGTGACTTTTTTGACCCGGGATCCACCAGGGGTCACCAGGAGCCTGATGTGATGCTCATCCAGAAGATCCCAGAGCGACTGAAGATGCAGCTACACGAGGCACGGTGAGAGCTTTGTTTATTGCTATTAATTATACATAATTTGTTGTTGAAATATTAATGTTATAAATATTACATAATTTGTTGTTTATAAATATTGCATAATTTATTGTTGAAATCTTTCTTATTTTTGGTTGGTGAACAGGAAGCCGAAGAACATGATCCGAAAAAGAAAAAGCCGGCTCAGCACACAGGAGATGTTTATGAACTCCTTGCTCAGCTTGAACATTTGGCCCTCGCGTAAGGACATCGGGCGCCTTGGCGTAAGACCGACCGGGCCGAACGTGTCGAACGTGTCTAGATGGCGGAGATTTCCCCCAAACACATGGGGCGATTTTTTGATGGGAGAAACATCGAACTAAACGGCTGTTCTTTATTGCCATGTTTGATTACTAGATATATACCTGAAAATGATGGACATTTTTGCAAAAACTACCCGGGATGTGTGTTAAACATGAACCAATTCGGGACCGGTGAACTGGGATTTGTAGGATTTAATCAACATGGGGGGAACCCACAAAATTTTGGATTAAATTGGAAAATATGGTCATTATCCATATGATCGTGTTTATTTTTGAGACAACTTCATCTTGTAGGATTTTATCTGGTTGGTGGTTTCAAACATGGCTTTTATTTTCCATTTCATATATGGGATGTCATCCTTCCCATTGACGAACTCCATGATTTTTCAAGATGGTTATTGCACCACCAACCAGTGATGTAGACATCTCTTCCGGTGAATCCAATTTGCCTGGAGAAGACTTCCTCGATGATGCGTTAAAGTATGTGTTGTTTGGTCATGCACCATGGTCAAAGATGATTTTTTTGTGGATCGTGATCAATCCGTTAATAGGGACGAACAGTTACATACTCATGAACATTCATGAACAGATTCCGATTGTGTGATGGATGACTAAGCCATTAATACCACGTTTACTCCAGCTGATGACAAAAATCGATTCATCTCATCACCATTATCCCATGTTGAAATCCCTCTTCTTGATGGTGAAATCCTATCATTATCCCAGTATTTTCCCATTAATCCCATTAAGTTTGACCATGGCACACATGTCAGTAGAGTTATGATGTCCAGAAGGAATCCTCGCCAGAACCCCTGGTGTGCTGGATCTGTTCATCGATTATAAACCGTGGATAACATGGGGGATGGTGTATATATATAATATATAGAATATATAATATATATATATATTATATAATATATAATATAATATATATATATAATATATATATATAATATATAATACATAGCAACCCAGAAACCAGATAGAACACTGTAAAATTATATACAGGTATACTAAAATGTAATTTATGTTCTATTTATTTTGGGTTGCCAATTAATATACATGTATTTAGATATGTTGCATATGGGTGAATCAAAAAGACCTCGAGGTCACTGCACATGGTGGTTAGTACAGGGAACCACCGCAAAAGTAGTTCTAAACATATTATATCATAGAATCATAGAGAATATTTATTGATATTTAGCAATATATATATATGATATTATATGTATACATTACCTACCTACATACAGAAATACACATCTGCTGCTATACACATGCACATAGAAATAGATTGCGTTGATTTTCGCCAGGGGCTTCTTGGCCACGATCTGTCACCACGCCATGCAGGAGCCGGTTGAGGTTTTAACCATCTGTGGGACATTATGGGACCTTTTTCAGTATGATTTTTTTCAGGATGAATCCAACCATCTTTTTTTTGGAGGCGAACCAACATGAAAAACCGGGGAATCTCTATATATACAGTGTAATTGATAACTGATGGTTACTGATGGTTGGTTCATGATTAAAAGATATTAAAAGGATACACTGTCCGACAGCTGACTATATTAATGAATCCCTGAATAGATAGAATCACATTTCCATGATGTGGATGATTTTGACTTCATAACTTCATATCACTTCCAGGTTTCATATCACTTCCAGGTTTCATATTTCTCTATCTACTCCGGGCTCGCAGTTGTGAACTGCGATGATGGCACTCCTCCAATTTTGGCTCATGTCAGGAGCACTCGGCAGTCCCCGGGCAGGCGAGGGGTCGGAAACTGCGCCGATGAATGTTGGGATACCCTTTGGTGATTCAACATACCCTTTGGTAAACTAACATAATTATGGAAAATCACCATTTTTCATGGGAAAATCCACTATTAATGGCCATTTTCAATAGCTGTGTTAAATTACCAGAGGGTAGATGTCTAGATGGATGATTCCGAATCATTTTCATTGTCGGGATTCCATGTTCAGGTTCGAATCATTTTCTAGTGTCTAGATAGAGGTTTCCTACGTCATAGGGCTACCCCAAAATCATCCATTTCAGATTGGGATTTTCCATGAAATAAACAATCCAGCTAGGGGTAACACCATTTATATATATATAGTATTATATATATAGTTCAATGTACCCATTAGTTTACCCATGTGATTGGATTCCTTTTCCTGGGCCCAGTGGGGCCCAGTCAACTTGGCCTGGCCCACAGTTCGACCACGGCGGTTGCCTGGAGGAAACCGTTTCTGATGATGAAGAAGTTTTTTTTTGTACCACTAATGTCATCTGATATCAGTGAAATCAGGCATCTAAGAAACATTATGAAACTACTCTTCTGATATTAGATCAATAGATGAACAGGTTTACCTTACCTGCCCCTTTCCTCCCTCAGCCACCCTCGGGCGGTTGGTTCTACCACTGCTGCAGGATGTCTTCCTCCCTGGCACCGACTGCCACGACGTCTACGTAATTGCAGCTTGGGACAAATGACAGCTGTGCCACGATTTCTATAGTAGTGGAAAACACCAAAAGTGGTGATTTATTGGCAATTTTGTTGTTTTTCATAGCATTTAATGGTGGTTTAATGGGATTTCATGGATGAACAAATCATGCTGCTTATTATCAGATTGCCCATTGCGAGTTGTCTGAAAATAGAGGATACCGGGATACCCACAAATAGCAAGCTATTAATAGGGAACATGATGGCAGTCCATTGGAATTGGGGATAGCCAATTTTCAGACAAACCTATATCATATAATATAATATTATATACGTGTATGTGTATGTATATATACATATAAATAATATAAATTATATATATATATATATATATGCACCAGGCCCTGCCACCCCCCATGGGATGGGTCCCATATACTGCCCCCATATGAGATCTTCCCCCTCCCCCTCCTGTGGTGTGGTGGGGGTGTGGTACTGTCCCCTTCCTCCCTGTGGTGTGGTGGGGGCGTGGTACTGTCCCTCTCCCCCCCTGTGGTGTGGTGGGGGTGTGGTATGGTATGTTGGGTATGTATGGTGTGTATGGTCCGTCTGGTATGGCATGTTTGGAAAGTATGGTATGTTTGGTATGTATGGTAGGTATGCTATGTATGGCATGAATGGTTGTTATTGTATGGATGGTAAGTATGGTATGTAAGTCTGTTGGGTATGGTATGTTTGATTTGACAGTATGTATGGTATGTATGGTATGTATGGTTACTATGATGGGTATGGAATGTTTCCTATGTCAGGTAGGTATGGTATGTATGGCATGTATCGCATGTATGTGTGGTATTGTATGTATGGTAGGTGTGGTAATTATGTTTCACATGTATGGTATGGGTGGTATGTATGATAGGTATGATAGGTATGGTACGCATGGCATCATTGGAATGTATGGTAGGTACGGCATATGTTCAACACATGTAGTGTTGTGAGAGTACACAGGTAGTAAATAGGAAGTAGATACATAGCGCATGTATATATGACTATAGGTAGCACGTAGGTACTTTGAGGGAGTATGTGTGCTATGTAGGTCGCCGAAAAGGTAGCATGTACCTAGTAAATGCGAGGCTGGTAGTCAGAAATGCTGCAAAGACCTAGCGAATACGAGGCTGGACCTCAGAAATGCTGCCAATAGCTTGCAAATAGAAGGGAAAGGGGGGTGCTACCTGGGGACCCAACCCATTGGGGGGGGTGGGTGGAGAGACGGAGGGCGGGACCATATATATATATATAACTATATATATATATTTGAATGGCATTTTTTGGCATCACCATAATTTTCCTTTTTGAACTGCCATTTTCGGCGGTATCACCCCAGTTTCAGACATACCCAGATGCCCATTGTTTAGCAGTTATATAGATCACCTTGAAACAGCAGCGGGGATGACTGTACCATTTGAACATCACCCTCCGTTAGGATGAACGTCACGCAACAGTTGGGCATCCGTTCGGTGTCTGTCAATCATGCTTGGTCAATTCTTATAGACATTCTATTTTCAAGCTATTCGCTACATCTCTGCAAATCATATATCTATATATATATTTTTAAATATATTGTCCCTGCCAATCATTGGTGTGTTATCATGTCAACTTTTTTCACATTCAATGTGCAATGTGGTTGATTGATTATACAATATCTACGTAGATTATATTAGTGCTAGTTAAATATTTTTTATACAGTATACAATTATATGCTACCATAACATGTATATCAATGAGAGATATACATGATGATATACACAACTTAGATGTAGAATTATATACAGTATACATAAGTTATATAATGTGATACCCGTGAAAGATGTGAATGTGGGTTTGTCCGAAAGTCGGTTACCCAAAATCCCCTGGTTTAATTATCATATTAATATTCCGTATTAGATGAATATATTTGGGGGTATACCGGTATAACACATGTTCCCATATCGGGTTTGTTTAGATATGATCCCTGGGAGTTTGGGGCCATTTTCAGACGATCGTTGATCTCCATACTGTAGTTGGTTAGTTACACCATCATATCCCAGTATCCAGTATCATCCCCATTCAAACCCCATTTAAAAAAACACAATTATACAAAATTCAAAATCCATAAAGCCACCCCAAATCTCATGAAAACCCGTCAGAACATATTAAAGCCATATAAAACCCCATTACCAACCCCTTCAAACCTCATTGAACACCCATTAAAACCTCATATAAACCACCATTAAGACTCTTTGAAACACCTCAACCCCCCCTTAAAAACGTTCAAACCTTCCATGAATCGAGGAGTCGGGCTCCATGGGCTACGTGACGGTTGCTGGTGACCTTATTGGTGAGTTCACAGCGGTGCAGGGCGGCCTATGCCTGCCGTGCCTCTGGTGTGTGCCTGGGCCTGGAAGATTTTCCCAAACATGACGAAGATTCCAATTTTTGAGATGACTTAAGTTGTTTTAAGATGATTTTTAGCGATTTTTCCGCAGCGATACCCAACTGTTGATTGGCTAGTGGTGGAGGACTTTGGGGGATAGCGGGGCCATCCATGGTGACTAAGAAAACCAACAAGAAATGGTCGTATAATGGGAATATTCTTGGGATATTTTGGGGACTTTGATGGAGAAACAGTTCGGACGCCAAAATTCGTGCTGGTTTATATCGGTTCATCATCATGTTCCCCATGCCATTTACCATGTGAATGAATGCATTTGATGGGTATCCAAGATGCATTATTTCTGGATAAAACTCAGATCGCTACCGTAGCCGCTACCCATTTTCAATGCAAATCTTGACATTTTCCCCATTTTCCCTGTAAAACTTGACGTTTTCATCCATTTTCCCTGTAAAAAGCCTACCATTTCTATCCATTGGATGAGACGCTGCAGGCTTAGACCCCTCGCTTCCAAGGAATGGACGCATCGTGGAAGATTGGCCGCCACAATGGGCATTTGTCACGTGGCATGAAACGCTGTGTTGGAACGAACAAGGCATGAAACAGTCAGGTTTAATGGCGTATATATATACGCACACACATTCACATTAAACAAAAATATAATTATATATATATACTTGGAGGATCATCCCAGTTGAAAATAATGGGAATATAGATAATGTTGAATAATGGTTAATGATTCGTAATGGTTTTAGAGATAACCATGTCATGGATTTTTAGCAGCAATACAACTTAGTACAATCTTAGCACAGGGTTCATCATTCATAATGGGATGAGAATGGGATAATGATCGTGGCTATCTGCTTTGGGCATATATCTGGGTAAATTAACGACCTTACTGTTCTCCCTCACAGTATCCCCAAGATAGTCTTATGTTAGTGAATTATGGTTATTTACATACGCATATAAATATTATACTACATATACTATGTATACATACACACACATATATATTTATACGGCAAATGCCTGGGCTTTGCCCGGACCCGCAATGACGACAGGCGACGCATCATCATCATCATCATCATCATCATCATCATCATCATCATTAGAATTAAACCCTTATTGAAGATCTTCAATGAATGTAGAAGTTGAACGGGGGTGGGAGAATTAAACCCTTATTGAAGATCTTCAATGAATGTAGAAGTTTAACGGGGGTGGGGGAATAAAACCCTTATTGAACATCTTCAATGAATGTAGAAGTTTAACGTGTGTGGGAGTTTTATATTACCTAGTACCTTTGTTGATCTTCCCGATTGAATGTAAAGTTTAACGGTGGTGGGAGTTTAATATTCCCTAGTACCTTTTTTGATCTTCCCAATTGAATGTAAAGTTTAACGGGGGTGGGATTTTTATATTCCCTAGTACCTTTGTTGTTTTTCCCATAGGAATTTAAGGTTTAACGGGGGTGGGAGTTTAATATTCCCTAGTACCTTTGTTGATCTTCCCACTTGAATGTAAAGTTTAATGGGCGTGGGAGTTTAATATTCCCTACTACCTTTGTTGTTTTTCCCGTAGGAATTTAAGGTTTAACTGGGGTGGGAATTTAATATCCCCTAGTACCTTTGTTGTTTTTCACACAGGGAATTTTGTGAAGTTGCATCAACATGTGTTTGGGACTGGGAAACCTCTACGCTGCAACGCCTGGGCAAAGCCCAGGCGTTGCGCGTATATTTAGATATTGTACATATGTGTATATATATATACACATATATACGTTTATATATATACATATATATATATATATATGTGGGTTCGGTGTCGGTGCGTTTTCTGGGCCCCAAGGGTATTATGATCAGGGTTGGTTATCATCATTTTTTATTTAAAATTTAAATGGAAAACACACTGAGCCCATGTGTATGTCAATATGTGGTGTATCATGATATGATGTCGCATGTGTTTGCTTCACAATTAGGCCTTCTTGTCTCAATCTGCTTTCATATCACTGATGCCTCAACACAACATGTTTATAAACACACCTTCGTTCATAAACCATATTGTTTTAGATACAAACCAAACAAAAAAAACAAACAAATATTTCCGAATTAGTTTGCGGACTATTTTTTTTGTTTTTTTTTGTTTGCGTTTTCGTTTTATATATACGTAGAAATTTGCCAGATAACAGGAGGTATTTGCTAGATGACATGAGGTATTTGCTAGATGACAGGAGGTATTTGCTAGATGACAGGAGGCATTTGTAGATGAAACTCCATGCCAACAGTGCCTTGACATAGGATGGAAATTATTTTAGAGAAATGTTTTTTTTTGAAAAAACTTCTTCATTTGAAATTGTAATATTCCTTGAAGTGTTGCAGCATTCCTTTTGAGAAATATATGCCCTTTTCAAGATGGCTGCTTCAATTGGAAACTGCATTCATCTCCGTGAAGTGTTGTAGCATTCTTGTTGGATCTTATGAAAAATACATGCTTTTTTTCAAGATGCTTGCTTCAATTGGGAAATGCATTATTGAAATCATTATTGTTTGAAATAAAATACAATTCCTTTTTGGGAAATGTATATAACTTTGTTTGAAAGAGTTTCTTCATTACAATCCAGATTGTTCCTTGAAGTGTTGCAGCAATCCTTTTGAAAAAATGTATGCCTTTTTCAAGAGGATTGATTCAATTGGGAGATGTAATATCTTGCAAAAAATGTACTTTGTTTTAGAGGTGCCAGTTTCAATACCAAAGTACAACATGTTTTTGTTTGGGTTTTCTTTATATCAAAATGCAAGATTACTTCAAGGATTTGTTACATGCACCCCTTGGGGGGTATGTAATTTATATAAATGAGAAATGAAATGAATGAAGGTGAAAAAAACATATAAAATGAAATATCTCTTTGATTTTTTGGATAAAATATAAACTTATTTATAATTTCTGTTTAAACCTCATTTTCCAGCAAAATTCTCGGGAAAAATAAGGCATAGCATCCAAGATTTCCTGGCAAATTTTAACTGAATTTTATATGTAAAAACTTTATACCTTAAAGTCACATCACTTCATGTCATTTTTTTCAGAGTTTGTGGGAATTTTCTACCTTAATTCTACTTGAATCCAAGAGTTCCATGACATATTTGTAGCAGGTAAGCTTAAGTTTATCTTTCTTATTTCATTTCGATTCTTTGAAAGGTTAATGCCAATTCTTTTTTTCTTTATATGTTGTATTAAGACATTGTTCATTTAATTTATTTGTGGCACGCTAATCACATATATTCTAGAAAACCTTGGGAGGTTTTAAGATCTACTTACTGTATCTTTTAATATGCATGACACCTTAAAATCTATTCAAAATCTGTGTCATTGGTGCCCCCTTTTGGAATACCAATAGATCTGATCCACAATACCAATCAAAAAGTCAATGCAAATATCTGTAAAAGAGCCAAGTTTGTACTAGCTTATATATACGTATATATATATAAATAGATATTGCTCTCTTCACATCAAGCAGTGACTGCACATTCTCATCATTTCAATGACATGTTCTCTGCAAAGGCCAACACATTGCAAAATCACAACTTTCAAAAACCCACCTCTGCTCACTACCCGCTCTCTATTTGTAGTGGTATATACATATTGAATATTATTGGACGATAAAATATATGGTATCATATGATTTAGTACAATAGGGATTATTGATGCCACTACTGGATCATCACTTGGGAAACCCCAATATAGCAAACCTACCATGACTGGGGATGGTGGGTTAGGAAATGTGCTCGATGCAATTGCCTAAGAACATCATCTGAACATAGAGACATGTACTTTGACAAAAAACCTGGGGCCCGGAAAACGCGCAGCGCCCATACGGCTATGGATCAATACCTATTAATACCGTTTTTAGGGGAATGAACATCCATTTACCAGCTATTTTGATGTTCACCAGGGGTACAAGGTTTTGACACACTGCCATACATATATATATATTATGTATATACATATCTACAAACATACACCTCCGTGGAGGATCATCGTAGTTGGTGACTGGTTAGTGTTGGCTTATAACCTATTTTTTTGGGGGGGATAATCTACGAACTGGGGAATTACTGGCCACTTTTTTGGGTGCCAAAAAAGTGTAATACACACACGAATTGGATTTTTTTTATTGGCGTACTGATGATACAAGATCAAATTTAAGGGTGCCCCATTGTGACGAATCCATATATATATATATACAGGGATTTAAATAGAATCATCAACAATGGTGACTTAACCGCCATGATGGCGATATTTTGGGGATGTAGTGGGGGTATAGGGATTGAATCATTAAAACTTGTGATTTAACTGGGGATTTTTTGAGGTTCACCTGAGTTAGTGGCTTAGTTCACCCCAGTTATACTGTAACTGGACCGACCTACTTACCCTAGTAACAACAGGCCCCTTACCAACTGGGGTGAGACACCAGGGATGTACATGAATATACACATACACAAACATAAATACATGCCTGCGGGTGCAAAACTGCGCAAGTGGTCACCGCAATATCCAATAAACAATTGAGTTTCCCTCTCTTGCTAAACGATAGGCATATACACAAATGTAATCACATGTAGATCTACATTCATTATAATCAAATGTAGATCTACATATTACATCCCCACGTGCACATGTGCCATGGGTCACAACCTGGTTTATTCTCTCATAAAAGAGGATGGTCATCAATCGATTTATAAGGAAGTGTGCAGCCTTGAGAAGGAATCCCCAATGATGGTGGGATGACCATACTCCATTTTTTTAGTGTTTGACCATGGCACATACAAACACGAGCATATAATCTACATAACATAATATCAATACGCACACAGATACTCTAGATGAATATAGCTGTATGAGTATAGATCTATATAATCTGAAAGATATTAATTGTATAATTCACAAGTACCCTTTGGTGGTAATTTAACATACTCACGGAAGATCACAGATTTTTACTAGGTGAAATCCATCTTTCAAAATTGGTAAATGTCAATAG